TGCATCAAATCCAGAATACCAACACATACTTAGCTTCAGAAGGCAGGTGTATATCGCTTTTTCCCCAGATATTATCGTACCCGAATCCTTGGAAATAACGTATGAGAATCTATCATATAATTTTTTTAGCTCTAGACAGTCAACGTTGCTTTACATGCAAACTATCCGGACATGTTGGATCATAATGCCCTTCCGATCACATTAATCCAAATATCCACCAATTACAACAAGCCACACAAAATACTCAGATCTCGCCAATATCTCAATCCGCTGAAACTTTATCTAATGACTTATATTTTAAAATAATAAATACTATTATACTCAAAAGGCCCTCATTAGTAGAAAATTATCCAAAAGAGGCTAATAATACTTTAGAGCATAACTACTCTGGCATCAAATCCAAATTGCACTGCTCAATCCGAAAATATTTCAACCACGGAGAAAACTTCTAATTCAACAAATTCCTTTCAACAAAACGAACAGCTGAAAATATGTCTCCAGCTACTGCAGAAAAAAAGGACCATCAAATAATTCTACATTCTCTCTGCCCAAAAATTTCTTTAAAAAGGCATGAGAGACAACTATATGTGAATGAAAATCAACGGGTAATCACTCAATGTAATTTTATACGTGAACGATACAGTAATTCAGTACCAGAAAACATGGAAGTTCTACAAATTCTGCTTGATCGTTTTTACGAAGTAGGAGAGGAAATGGACAATAAAATAAATTCGAACAAAACCACATTTTTAGTCTTTAGCCGTAACCCACATCCAGATTCAGAGCTTCAGTTTAATGGAGTCCAAGTTGTAAAAGTTCACAAAATTACATATTTAGGAACCGTCATAACGGACGAAATAGATCCATACATAAAAATTAACGCAGAATAATAATCCTGAAACAACTCTTCTAAAAATAGTAGGAGGTAGACAGAATAGGTCTACTATTCTGTCTACCTCCTCACATCAATCAATGGTCGGGTTCTTACACCCGTACCATGACAAAAAATTTTTTTCAATTTTTTAACGTGTTTGTGAAGTCCAGTGTCGGCTTTTTATATGTTTTTTATATGTTTTAAGAATTTCAACAACTAAAAAATCATAATTTTGAAATATAAGGAAATGAGATCTCTCCTTTGTAGTGGTATTTAAAAAATTGACCATAGCTCTGATGATGGCTTTGTAAAGCCGAAAGCGCTCAGCTAGGAATTGCCTAAAATATACACACTTCAAAAATACTTTTTTACATTTTCTTTCGACTTGTCATAAGTGTGTACAAAAAATATCAGTCTTTTGATTATTAAATACTAAGAGAATTAAAGTAATGAAGGAAAATAAATATGCTGGTATTGATTTGATGTGGCTATTTAGAATTCGCAGCAATACTTTGATATTAAGAACACCTGAGTCAACGAGCCTAATCAGAGCTACTAGTTATAATGCTCATAGCGTATCGGCATTTTTCGATACCAAATGTTTATTTTCATCAAACGAAATATTTAACTACCATGATACCGAAATCACGACGATGCATAGACCATCAAAAATTATAGTACCCAAAAAAAGAAAAAAGCAAAAGGATGTACATTAGTAACAATATGCCAGCCTTATTTTATATTTCCTATTCAAAATTTTAAATTCCACATGTTAAATAGAGCACTTGTTGGATCTCCAGGGGCAGAATTCAAAACTGGTTGGATGACGACCGATAATTTTCTTAATTTTTAAACATTAAAAATGCAAGATCTTGTAAGAAAAAAATATATTACCAATCAATGGTATAGTATTACTAACAATACCACCTCACTGCAGCATAAACTTCAGCTCCTCGACGTGGGATCTCTAGATCCATTCACGACTTTTTATAAAAAAAAGAAGCTGAAATGGATGATCAATCATCCAGGTGTTCCTGTTACTATTTATGATGTTGCCGGTATTGTGGTTAAAATACCACCAAAAGCTTTTCTCCTTACTAATATTCTGTCGTAATTTAGTTAAAAACTGGAATATTACCTGAAGATTCTGAAAATTTTCAAAGGGGAAGACTTTTTAAGCTCCTATGTCACAGATAGACCATTTGAAGCTAACATACAAACTGATGGCAATAATAAAAAGCCATAAAATTATTCAGATCCAGATCCTGCCACTAGTAAGCATGATGTGAATCAAGCAAATGAATTTCTGTTGCTAGAGTAAGTTAAACCGCATCCAAAAGCAGAGCAAGGAAAAAATATCAAAAAGGGCTGGCCTAAATTTCAATCCATAGTTCTTACTTATTCGCCTTTCATGGACATGAAAAAGAGAAGTGACGATAAGAGAATTTGGAATTTGGAAAAATATAAACAAGTACAGAAGAAAGTACAGCTTACAATGCAAAAAGAAAGATTTTTGACGAAACATTTTGTGAAAGTGATACTGAAGAAGAGGCAGTAGTTGATGATTATGACAATGATCTGGGAGATTTCGAAAATTTGCAAAATATTCCGCAGAATGAAACTTTTATTTGTGAATGAAACAAGCATTTTATAGGATAATTGGAAAAATAGAGACAGATGAATATTGCATAAACTTTTGAAAAAATGCAAGACTACTTTAACTAATTTCATTTTCGCTGATGAAAGGGACGAAGACACTGTTACAATAGAACAAATTATTCAAAATTTATCCAAACCAGCAATTTTTGGAGGAACGCAGAGATCTATGAAAAAACTTAGCATTTATTAGGATATATCTTCTTACAACATGAATTATTAGTTAGTTTAGTGTACTTTATATTAAGTTTATTATTTTTCTTATTAAATATGTTTTTATTTCTCGTTATTTCCAATTTTGAGTATTTGGTTTTTAATTATATTTTATCGAATATGTTGTTTTTATGCATTTTAAATACATTATTTTCTTATGTCCCAATTTGAATCATACAACGACCAGTGATCGTTTACAGTGGACATGTGGTATATTTGTCAATTTTTGCATAAAAAAAACAAATTAAAATATTTAAAAAATATAATTTTATAAGAATATTTACTCCCTATCTCTGTACCTAAAATGAATAAAACATCTCCAGTATTTAAAATGGTATTACAAATTATAGAAAACTGTCCCATTAAATACAACTTCCAACTATAAAGTTATTATGGAAAAAATCATAAATTCCGAAATTCTTCAGCAAAATATCTATGTAATAATGTACAACGCTTGGTATATTCCCTATTTAAAATTAAAAGTTCTGGTAGGGAGGGGGTTGACAAATAGCAGATATTTATATCGATAAAAGATGTACCCTTTGCAATAAAAATTGACTTGTTTTAGAATTTTCAAAGAATTCAATCAATATTGCCAACTATCAGTGTGGACTCGTTTGAGTGACCGACCCTGTATTTATATAATTAAAAATAATAAAGTCACTATTATTCAAGTTTTTGATCGTTTGATATTCCCCATGTAGACTTAGGTAAATTTGTTTTTATTGTTTTTTTATAGTATTATACTATTTTATATATTATCATTCTTGTATTCTATATTTTAATAAGTGATTGTGTAATTTGGCCTCTTTAATGTCTGTTAGTACTTGGAAGAGGAGGTAGTATGTCATATTGATAAATTTTGTTTAAGAGTTCGTCTTCTGGATATAGCACCTATTGTTGCAATTTTTAACTGAAGTTTTTGTAGTGTGCTTCTATTTTATTATCGTCAGACTACTTGGCGACTTGGGGATATCTCTCTATATGCAGAACTTATGGACAGGAATTACTTCTCGGGTGGGTGCATCAATATTTCAAGGGGTAACTATGAGGATCACGGAGGGAGTGCCACAGTGTTCTGTTCTGGGGCCATTACTTTGGAATATTCTTTACAACGAGATTTTGAAGGCCGACCTGAGCATTGGTGTAGAGGCAATAGCCTATGTAGATGCCCTGGCGGTGCTGGTGGAGCACAAAGAAAACTGGTCAATCGTGCATAGAGCAAACCGGGCCCCTTCACAAAATGAAGACGTAGATAGGAAGCAGGTATTTTACGCTGGTTGCCAAGAAAACTGAAACTATGATCCTCACGACTACGAGGACCAGAGAAAATATAGTTTTTGCACTGGAAGAAAAAAGTACCTTACCTGCCAAAAAAATTGAAGTACTTGAGGGTGGTCCTAAATACCTTTCAACGTTCTTCTTCGAAGAGGTGAACCTTTATTGAGAAATAAGGTATAGGAGAATGATCGAAAAAGATTACAGAAAAGCACCGTTAAAGGTAGTACGTGCATACAGAACAACATCAACGGTGACCATACAAGTGGTTGCAGGGGTGTTTCTTGTACGGCTCCTTCAGAGCCTGTCTAGTAAGAATAGGGAAGGTAGCAAATCTAAACTGCCCAGAATTACACAGAAAGTTAGGTAAGGTAAGCGCAAATACAATAATGCAATTAGCAATGAAGGGAAAGACTGAATACAAGGCAATACTGGAGGCAGTAACTTAAATCGTCAGAAAGAAGAAAATACTAGAAAGGAATTTGCAGCAAAGGTAAGACACAGAGAGAGAAAAGATGGACTATTCATATGATGCACCAGTCTAGAGAGCACCTACCGCAAAAGTAGTCCGGTTGGGGGAGTAGACTTTAGTTGGTAGGCAGAAAGCTATAGCTGCTTCTACAAGCACGGCTCATCTGGGAGGGCTGCGTGCGGATAGACCCTTCCAATCCGAATCCAGTACATGTTAGGGCATCCTTAACGGGAAATGGCCGTGTGTGGTCTTTAAAATATTTACTACCTCCTATCCATAAAAAAGGTATGGTCCTATTGATTCTCTGTATATTAATAATCCTTGTCAATCCATAGTTATCTTAATTACTTAGTTTTTTATATTGTTTATATATTATGGAATAAAATATACTTTGGTATACTCGTCAGTCTCCCCTAAGGGTTTTACTATCTTAAATATACTAATGTTAAATAATTGCATGACCGATAAAGAAATGGCTATAAACATTCAAAACGGACTTAGGGAATTAATACACGATGAATTGTTTAATAGTAAATATTGTTGTTTTTGTAAATGTGTTCTCCGGTAAGTAAAAATCCCTTTGTTTTAAAGTAATTCGAATTTACATAACATTGAATTTTTCGAATAGTTTTTTAAGTCAATTTTGTTTAGAAAGGGAGTCTAAATTTTGAGTTTTTTGCCAATATTATTGCACAATATTGTTAGTCTTTCTTAATGTTTAATTGCGTCTATTTTATCATTGTTTTAGCTTTTGTTGTATAGCCCAATTTTTGACAACGTATTTAATTTATATATTAACTTTTTGGATCATTGGCTTTGGCTGTAATCGAGTAAATTTGGACTAATTGTCCATCTTACTTTTATAGGATTATTATTGTATTTTTTTGTGGAAGCTCTAAAGGAGTACTCCTTGATTACATTCTCGTTTGTCAGTACACAATCATATTTCTGGTCTTATTTTACAAAGATACATAAATGGTTGTTTTATGTTTTTATTTCTATTATAAATATATAGATTCATCATGTTTTGGACTATTTTTTTCCTGTTTTAGTTTATTTGTACTCTTTCTTTTTCTTTATATTTTTTCGTTTTTTTAAACTTTTGTATATGTAATCTTCTTTTATACTATAATTATGAATAATCATGCTCAGATATATTTTGATTTTTCGATTTTAATAATTGAGTAAGATTACTTGGTTTATTAATTTGGGGTATTTTGATTATCTGTTTATTTAACATACCTCAGTGGTCAGAGACGAAAATGTAGAATGTAGAAGAACCTGTACGCCGCAAAAGAACATGTTGAACAAAAACGTAGTTGAAATAGTTTTGAGCAAAATCTTAATTGTCACTTTTAGTGTAGAATGGACCGTTCTCTCAGAAACATGCGTCCAGCGATTTTTAATGTGAGTTAAGAGCGCGAAATCAATTTGAAATAAAGTTTGTATCAACTATGTATATGGTAAACATTCGATATCTTTTGACTAGAGTAGGTATACTATCAACGAAAATCAATATGTTTTAATGTGATGAGTGCAGCTTTCGTACGCAATATTTGCATTTTGCCTCAAATGAAGGCGTTAAATAAATAAACGTTGAGCGATTTTTGTCATTTTTTACAATTCTCGTGAAATCAACAAATTTTATCACTTCCACTGGCTGGTTCTTTTAAAATCTCCATTGTTAGATCCTAATCTATAAAACAGTCTCACGTCACGGAAAATGTTTTCACGACTACCGAATTTTTATAGGAGCGTTTTATAGGCATATTTAAATTGCCCTATATTGGTGTCCAAAACTCAAAATCGAAATTTCATGAAAAAGTAATTACTATTTTAATGGGAATAAGCCACAATTAAAGTTTAGATCCGGGAAAGATTACAATTTCATAGATGAATTTTATTTTTTGTACAACAAGATATTGTAAGTATAGAAGATTTGCTTTTCAATGTGATATCAAATTCTGATTTTCATCCAATTATTTTTAGTTTACATATAGTATTAGAAAATTTATATGAGAAACAAAGAATTATACATTTTAATAAATTTAATATTCTTTTAGAACAAAACTATATACATACTTTAGATAACCTAAAAAGAAATAATGACATATTAGCGACAGTTGTCAATCTATAAAATAGACATTTAAATGCAACGGGGAGTTTAATACTGTCAAAGGGTCTAAACTATGGTGTTTCTCATCCATCTACTCCAAAATTAGACATAATTAGGTCAGTGGAGAAAATATCCTAATATTTACCAACCCCCGAAATAGAAGAATATAGAGTATTATGCAAACATGAATTGGAAAAGTCTCTTAAAATTAAACAAAACCTAAGCAAAGAGGAACTAAAGGCTATGAGAAGATTAAAAAATGACTACTTCATAATTAATGAAACTGTGATAATGGATAAAATTCAATATAAAAACAAAATTAAAGATCTAATAACATCAAAGATGATTAGTTACACCTCATTACAGTAAGATCTCTCATTTTTATGGAGTACTGAAGGTTCATAAAACGAATATACCACTTAGACCTATGTTTAGGGCCCATGAATTCTCCTTTTAGTGAACTGTCAAAAATTTTTATTAAATATTAATAATCAATTTGCAAATAAAAATTACACATTTATAAAAAAAACGAGTAGGGCAGTCCAGTGAGACTGCGGATAGTTATATATTATATGTAATACTATAGGTAAGAGAGAGCAGAAAGCGAACAATAATTAGGTATATAGGTATATGGTGCATCTTTTGCTGTATATAAACATTTGACCTGTAATAGGAGTATAGTAAATGAAGGATTGAATCAATATTTTAATAAAAATATATATTTTTATTAAAGTACAAAAATATATAAATAAAGTATTTAAAAATAACAATATACATAACTTACTTATGCATATGTTTAATTTACCATGATAATAATATTAATAAAACAATAATAATATTAATAAATATTAAATATATTTACAAACATTTTTATTTTCGTGAGAGAAAATATATCTTCTGTCTCTCTCTTACCTATATCTTACAGATGAAATGATTTTGCCGATTCACTCCCGTACAAATGTCCAACGTCGAGCTCGCGTATAGAAGGATAACTTCAAAAAATGTTTGTGGAAGATAAAAATAAAAAACCAACAACTCGGATTATGTTGTAAATTTTCATTTTATATTAAAATTTAGCATTTTTGCGTATATTACATATATTAAATAAGATTAACGTGATGTTTTAAATATTTCAAAAATAAAATGGAAATTCATATTGGGATTCGAACTCACATAGTATGAACTCACTACACTAAAATAATTATGAATATTTAATAAATAATACAAAACGTATCACATAAATAATAATATTAATATACATAATATTATATATATATATATATATATATATATATATATATATATATATATATGTATATATATATATATATATATATATATATATATATTGTTATGATGTTTTGTTTGTATATGAGCAATGAGTGTTTAAAATAAAATATATGAGTATAGGGTTTTCATCGCGGTTCTCAAAGAATTAGTTTGTAAGTACATTTTTAAATTATCTTTATTATAACTATTATGAAACACACATATATATCTAATATAAACAATATAAATTTAAAACAACCTATCTAAAATTTAAAATTCTTACAATTATTAAATTATATTAACAAAATTTGTTACCTTTCTATCACTGAAGGTCTAAAGTTTTCCAAAATCAAAGTTATAATCAATCAAATCAATCCAAATTATAATATAATTGTATTTGTGAAATTGCATATAGATATTATAATTTAAAATTCTTGTAATCTCCGTATAATATATTTTCAAATATACTGTATACTATGTTCTTGTACTATTGACTGCTTAACTTCTTAATGAATTAACTCCATACTGTCACTGTATTACTGTACTAATAATTAACTATCACTGTATTGAACTAACTATATTGAATTAATTTAAGGCAGGTTTATAAACGGACATAGTACATAATCATAAGTCATAAACATAACTTCAACCACAATCATAATTCATAAGATTTAAGATTGGTTTATAACTAGACATAATACATAACCATAATATTTAAGAACTTCTTCAGAAAATACAAACCTAACCAAATTTTTATAGAGCATGAAGAATTTTTTTCTGGTCTTTAGATTCATAGAAAAGTGAAATAAATAAATATGTGGTAGAATTCGCTCCAAAAACATTTAATTAAAATAGTAGGGTTATGTATAGGAGGAAACTGCAGATGATTCTACCAACGCATGCGCATATTCCAACAATTCCATAATGTTTAATACTTAATTCATAAATGTTGAAAGTTACCAACTTTCAAGGTCACGTTTTAAGGACTAAATTTATGTCTTATGTATTATGGATGCTTTTAAATGGGTACATTTATTTATTAACTTTTAACATTATGCTTATATAATAAGATTATGGTTAAAGACTAAAATTATGTTTATGTCCGTTTATAAATCCGGCTTTACTCTCATACTCTCCAACTGTATCTGACTTAATGAATACTTCTAAGTTAATCCTTTCTTCTAACTTAATTTAATTATAACTGTCTTGAACTAACTTTCTTGATGAATCTAATTTATTGTCACTAACTTAATGACTTAATCGTAACTTAATTGTAACTGACTGACTAATTTCATCTCACTTAATGCCTTCTACTTAATAATTGACTTAATAATTGACTGTAACTGACTTAGTAACTGTAACTTAATTGTAACTGACTGATTGACTTCAAATTACCTCGTATTTATATCCTTTTCTCATTCCAGACTGTTCTAGCAACCATGTTCGAAACTTTTCATCTCATTCATATATGAAAGTTCTGGAATAATCGACTATGCAAATAGGGCTAACTGCCTTGTACATTGACGTTTTCCAGAAGATTCTAGTGAGAATTTTATGGACATTTAGGCTTTTCAGATCACAATACACTATTATATATAAACTAAATATCTTAAACTAATACATTATCACTATTTTACATCCGTAATTATATTTAAATTAAACATCCCAAACTAATAAATAACCTCACTTCACATCCACAACAATCCAAATGTCAAATAACACAGGGTATATTTGGTTGCCTATGCGCATGGCTTACTTAAATATATTTATAATTAAAAAAAAACTTTTTAAACTTAATCCCATGCTAAATTTTGAAAAATACCCTCATAATTATTTTTTAATAATATTCGCTAGCATATAACTTATAAATTATTTCTTTAATCATTATTTAAGTTAATTAATTATTAAAAATCATAATATTTCTGTGCTAATTTCTTGTATATCTATTATTATTCCAATATATATATGTATATATATATATATATATATATATAATATTATTAAATATATATATACAAAGGGAACATTTTTATTTTCGAGAGAGAAAGAGAGAGAAAATTATCTTCCGTCTCTCCCTTACTCATATCTTACATATGTAATGATTTCACCGATTCACTCCGCAAATTTCCAATATCGAAGGCGCGTATAGAAGTATAACTTCAAAAATAAACAGCATTTT